ACCGCACCATATACTCAACACAGCACCATAGACTCAACACTGCACCATAGACTCAACACAACACCATAGACTCAACACTGCCCATAGACTCAACACTGCACCATAGACTCAACACTGCACCATAGACTCAACACTGCACCATAGACTCAACACCGCACCATATACTCAACACCGCACCATAGACTCAACACTGCACCATATACTCAACATTGCACCATAGACTCAACACTGCACCATAGACTCAACACTGCACCATATACTCAACACTGCACCATAGACTCAACACTGCACCATAGACTCAACACTGCACCATAGACTCAACACTGCACCATAGACTCAACACTGCACCATAGACTCAACACTGCACCATAGACTCAACACTGCACCATAGACTCAACACTACACCATCGACTCAACACTGGACCATAAACTCAACACTGGACCATAGACTCAACACTGCACCATAGACTCAACACTGCCCATAGACTCAACACTGCACCATCGACTCAACACTGGACCATAGACTCAACACTGCCCATAGACTCAACACTGCACCATAGACTCAACACTGCATCATAGACTCAACACCGCACCATATACTCAACACCGCACCATAGACTCAACACTGCACCATATACTCAACACTGCACCATAGACTCAACACTGCACCATAGACTCAACACTGCACCATATACTCAACACTGCACCATAGACTCAACACTGCACCATAGACTCAACACTGCACCATAGACTCAACACTGCACCATAGACTCAACACTGCACCATAGACTCAACACTGCACCATAGACTCAACACTGCACCATAGACTCAACACTACACCATCGACTCAACACTGGACCATAAACTCAACACTGCACCATAGACTCAACACTGGACCATAGACTCAACACTGCACCATAGACTCAACACTGCCCATAGACTCAACACTGCACCATCGACTCAACACTGGACCATAGACCCAACACTGCCCATAAACTCAACACTGCACCATCGACTCAACACTGGACCATAGACTCAACACGGCACCATCGACTCAACCCTGCACAATAGACTCAACACTGCACAATAGACTCAACACTGCACCATAGACTCAACACTGCACTGTAGACTCAACACTGCTCCATAGACTCAGCACTGCACTATAGACTCAACACTGCCCATAGACTCAGCACTGCACCATCGACTCAACACTGCACCATAGACTCAACACTGCACCATCGACTCAACACAGCACCATAGACTCAACACTGCACCATAGACTCAACACTGCACCATCGACTCAACACTGCACCATCGACTCTACACTGCACCATAGACTCAACACTGCACCATAGACTCAACACTGCACCATAGACTCAACACTGCACCATAGACTCAACACTACACCATCGACTCAACACTGGACCATAAACTCAACACTGCACCATAGACTCAACACTGGACCATAGACTCAACACTGCACCATAGACTCAACACTGCCCATAGACTCAACACTGCACCATCGACTCAACACTGGACCATAGACCCAACACTGCCCATAAACTCAACACTGCACCATCGACTCAACACTGGACCATAGACTCAACACGGCACCATCGACTCAACCCTGCACAATAGACTCAACACTGCACAATAGACTCAACACTGCACCATAGACTCAACACTGCACTGTAGACTCAACACTGCTCCATAGACTCAGCACTGCACTATAGACTCAACACTGCCCATAGACTCAGCACTGCACCATCGACTCAACACTGCACCATAGACTCAACACTGCACCATCGACTCAACACAGCACCATAGACTCAACACTGCACCATAGACTCAACACTGCACCATCGACTCAACACTGCACCATCGACTCTACACTGCACCATAGACTCAACACTGCACCATAGACTCAACACTGCACCATAGATTCAACACTGCCCATAGACTCAACACTGCACCATAGACTCAACACTGCACCATCGACTCAACACTGCACCATCGACTCTACACTGCACCATAGACTCAACACTGCACCATAGACTCAACACTGCACCATAGATTCAACACTGCCCATAGACTCAACACTGCCACCATAGACTCAACACTGCACCATAGACTCAACACTGCACCATAGACTCAACACTACACCATCGACTCAACACTGGACCATAAACTCAACACTGCACCATAGATTCAACACTGCCCATAGACTCAACACTGCCACCATAGACTCAACACTGCACCATAGACTCAACACTGCACCATAGACTCAACACTACACCATCGACTCAACACTGGACCATAAACTCAACACTGCACCATAGACTCAACACTGGACCATAGACTCAACACTGCACCATAGACTCAACACTGCCCATAGACTCAACACTGCACCATCGACTCAACACTGGACCATAGACTCAACACTGCCCATAGACTCAACACTGCACCATCGACTCAACACTGGACCATAGACTCAACACGGCACCATCGACTCAACCCTGCACAATAGACTCAACACTGCACAATAGACTCAACACTGCACCATAGACTCAACATTGCACTGTAGACTCAACACTGCACCATCGACTCAACACTGCACCATAGACTCAACACTGCACCATCGACTCAACACTGCACCATCGACTCTACACTGCACCATAGACTCAACACTGCACCATAGACTCAACACTGCACCATAGATTCAACACTGCCCATAGACTCAACACTGCACCATAGACTCAACACTGCACCATCGACTCAACACTGCACCATCGACTCTACACTGCACCATAGACTCAACACTGCACCATAGACTCAACACTGCACCATAGATTCAACACTGCCCATAGACTCAACACTGCACCATAGACTCAACACTGGACCATAGACTCAACACTGCACCATAGACTCAACACTGCCCATAGACTCAACACTGCACCATCGACTCAACACTGGACCATAGACTCAACACTGCCCATAGACTCAACACTGCACCATCGACTCAACACTGGACCATAGACTCAACACGGCACCATCGACTCAACCCTGCACAATAGACTCAACACTGCACAATAGACTCAACACTGCACCATAGACTCAACATTGCACTGTAGACTCAACACTGCACCATCGACTCAACACTGCACCATAGACTCAACACTGCACCATCGACTCAACACTGCACCATCGACTCTACACTGCACCATAGACTCAACACTGCACCATAGACTCAACACTGCACCATAGATTCAACACTGCCCATAGACTCAACACTGCACCATAGACTCAACACTGCACCATCGACTCAACACTGCACCATCGACTCTACACTGCACCATAGACTCAACACTGCACCATAGACTCAACACTGCACCATAGATTCAACACTGCCCATAGACTCAACACTGCCACCATAGACTCAACACTGCACCATAGACTCAACACTGCACCATCGACTCTCTCTAAATCTCGATTTAAAGCTCTCGTGGCTGCAAGGATTCACTTCCTTTGGTTCTTTCGGGAAAAAAAAGTCACGCAGAATGAGAATAAAATAATAAAACAAAACAATAAAATTCTCACGACGTTTCGGCCACAGCGCAAGTGGCCTCCTTCAGGTGAAAGGAACAAACCTGTCTCGCTAAATCATTCATGAAATTAACATGTGTTGAGCGTCGCCCCAGGGCTGAAAATCCTGGCTCCGCCCCCGAGCGTGGTCTGCTACGTGTTGGTGGCAAAAGAAGTTCAACCATAGAAATAGGTTTTTACCCTTTTAACTGGCACAAAAACTGACACCTTTATACAAGGGGATCATGTTTGCAATAACCGCAACACAAGCGGTCAAAATACAAACAAAAAGAGACAACTGTGATAGTAATATTGGCACCGTCCTTGAATTTGATTGGTCCACACCCGAGACGGCTTTTCTTAGTGGAGACTTAAGGGCTCTAAGAAAAGCCGTCTCGGATGTGGACCAATCAAATTCAAGGACAGTGGCAATATTATTATCACAGTTGTCTCTTTTTGTTTGCATTTTGACCGCTTGTGTTGCGGTTATTGCAAACACGACGCCTTGGAATAAAGGTGTCAGTTTTTTGCGCCAGTTAAAAGGATAAAAACCCATTACTATATCTTGTTACTGGCAAAGGAGGTCTCGTAATGTAAAAGTTCAAACCACGTTAATTACGCAGCGCTTGCCACAGATGAACCGCGCTTACTCCTGCGGCCGTCTGGAACGCTCTCCCGATACGACGAAGCCGCCCCGGGCAGCCGCGGCACTTTCATAGTCATTGTCCAGGTTGGCGAACCCAGTTCTTCACGACCGCTTGTTGCTGGAGCGTTTCGTTTGTCGTCCTTCCCCATCCCCCCCGCACCCCGCCGTGCCTCCGGTGACTGCGGTCGGCCACGTGCGGTGCGCGAAAAGCTCAACGTGCACACGACACACTCCGTTGCCGCACGCCACGATGCTATGAGCCCAACGGTGTGCTGCACCACCGCGCAGAAACTCGCTTCTTGAGGGCCACTTGTTGCCGCGTCCAGTTTGTCGTCGGGAAAGGCGCGCCTGGCTACCCCCGGCGCCGGAGCAGCTCAACGTGCACGCGCGCAGACACCCGTAGAGACAGCACACAGAGACCCACGGAGACCCGCAGATTACAAGTTCATCGTACGCCTGCAAGCCTGCCAATGGGAGGCACCCACAGAGACCCACAGAGACCCACAGAGACCCACAGTTTAGCGCGCTTGGCTATGTATGGCGCGAAAGAAGCTCAACGTACACGCACGGAGACATCCCAGGCCTATGGAGAGACCCACAGAGACCCACAGAGACCCGCAGAGACCCGCAGATTACAAGTTCATCGTACGCCTTCCCACCCTGGCAATTGGAGGCGCTAACGCTTCCACCTCGAACCGCCTCCCACCCACAACTGACCACGGCCACCGCAACCCTCCCCTGCCCCCCCCCCTGCCCCCCCAAAAGTTCTCACCTCGCCAGCCGTAAACGCTCCTCCTCCTCCTCCTCCTCCGTTCTCCGGGCGGAAGCGTTCCATCGTCGCGTTGACTCCGGCGCCGCCCCCTCCAGACTGGGAAGTCGCGGCCGCGGCCGTGCCGGTCGTGGCCGCGGTGGCGGCCGCGGCCGTGACGGCGGCGTGGTGGTGGTGGTGGTGAGCGTGGCGTTGGTGAGCGTGGTGTTGGTGAGCGTGGTGGTGAGGATGCGTAGGAGGGGGGGCGTGTACGGAGTGCGGCTCCTGGAGGGACAGGTAGACCCAGTGGAGCAGCTGCGCCGGGTTGCACACCGAGGCGCTTGTGTCGATGCTGGACAGGAGGCTCATGGTGGTAGCGTGGGTACTGGCGAGGGTACTGCCGTGGTCAGCCACTGACTACGACCGCCGTGTACGGCGCTACCGAGCGTGCGACCAGGAGTACTACCGTGGTCAGCCACTGACCACGACCGCCGTGTACGGCGCTACCGAGCGTGTGACCAGGAGTACTACCGTGGTCAGCCACTGACTACGACCGCCGGGTACGGCGCTACCGAGCGTGCGACCAGGAGTACTACCGTGGTCAGCCACTGACTACGACCGCCGTGTACGGCGCTACCGAGCGGGCGACCAGGAGTACTACCGTGGTCAGCCACTGACTATGACCGCCGGGTACGGAGCTACCGAGCGTGCGACCAGGAGTACTACCGTGGTCAGCCACTGACCACGACCGCCGGGTACGGCGCTACCGAGCGCGCGACTCCGTTCGCCGCTGACTAAACTACCACTGGGTAAAGCACCGCTTGCGGGCAGTACTACTGAAGGCAGCACGGCTGAGTGGTGTGCCCCTGTCAACCCCCGACGCCGCTCCGCACTGCCGAGGATAGCACCGGGTCTACTGCCGGACCCCCGATGTCGCCCAGCGGCAAGGGCTGGTTAGGCTACTAACGGGTCGCACAAAACGTTGCCACCGACGCTCACATCGCCGCCAACATCGGCGGGCGCGCTAACGGGCGGCACAGCCGAGCGCTGCCAGCGCCCGTTCTAACGCCACCGTCTCCACCGCCGCCGGCAGCAAGGCCCCGCCAACGCATGAGGACGCCCCGAACGCCCACCGCCAAGTCCGCGATGGCGCCGGCTGCGCTGTCTGTCTGTCACCTGCGACACCGACCCGCGGGGTTTGCGACCAGCTCGTCTGTCGCAGCGCTAGCTCGGGCGCGGACGCCTGCACGAGTCAACGCCTGGCCTAACACCACCACCTAAAAATGACGCCTTGGCCCGAGCCAGGACTTAACACTTCCTCTGCGCTATAACGCCTGTGCCGTCAGTGCCTCTGCGCTAACACCTGCACCGCAAACGCCCGCAACCGACGCCTGTGCTAGCACCAACACTGTGCGGGCATGTGCACCGACGCCACCGCTGATCTAACACATGCGCTGTCGCTACCGCGTGTTCTAGCGCTATCACCGCATGCGTGCGCTGACCAGCTGCACCAACACGACCCCAGTACCAACGCCTGCTCGTGGTTAGCTTGTTGCTCTAACTCTCAGCCAAACGTCTCCGCTCTTGATGCTCTTGGAAGGTTTGCGAAGCTGACGCTGACGCTGCTGCTGTTGCTGCTGCTGCTGCTGCTGACGGCGATGATGATCTCTGCAGATGCCGCTTCTGATGGTGCTGATGTTCAGCAGCGCTTCTTTAAGATCTCGTTGATTGCTGCTTGCTGATGACCTTGCTGATGTTTGTGCTGCTGCTGATGATGATGCTGCTGATTTTACAGATGATGATGATAGTTTGTACAGGTGCCGCTGTAATTTAACGATGGCACGAATGATGACGACGATGCCGCTGATGATATAAATACTTGTGTTACTGCTGCTGAAATGCTACCTGTCGAGACTGCTGATGATACTGCTGATGCTATGATACTGCTGATGATGAATTTAAATCGGATCTCGGTCACCGGAGAATCGTCGTCACACACAGAAGGGGAGACCGTGGCGGATAGTAGCCCGATCCGAGAATTAACGCCCCCAATAATGTGGCCTTCAATACACCCAGAATTAATTTGCAATTTCATAGATAAAACCAAACCAGATTAGGGCAAACGAGACCAGATCAAACCAGACCGGATCAAACCAGATTAAGCCAGATCAACCCAGATTAGATAAACACCAGACCACATTATGCCAGATCAAACCAGACTAGATTAATAACCAGACCAAATCAAGACATATCAAACCAGATTAGATCACAAAACAAGAACCACGTCAAGCCAGATTAAATCATAACTATACCGGATCAAGCCAGATCGAACCAGATTAGATCTAAACCAGACCGGAACATACCAGATCGAACCAGATTAGATATAAACCAGACCAGATCAACCCAAATCAGATCTAAACCAGACCAGATAAAGCCAGATTGGATCATAACCAGGCCAGACCAGGCCAGATCAAACCATATGCGATCTAAACAAGAGCAGATCAAGCCCGAGTAAGATAACAGCGGACGAATGGATCAGACTGAATCAGACCGGACCAGCCTTCAAGTGAGAATTCAAAAATCGCCTCCAGACTCACAGATAATGCTAGGCGGTGGTGATGCTGCTGATTTGATGTTGCTGATAATGATGATGCTGATAATGGTGATGCTGATAATGGTGATGTTGATAATGGTGATGCTGATAATGGTGATGCTGATAATGATGATGTTGATAATGGTGATGTTGATAATGGTGATGCTGATAATGGTGATGTTGATAATGATGATGTTGCCGCTGATGATGCTGCTGCTACTTTAAGAAATGTCAGTTGATGACGCCAGATACTTATGATGCTGCTGTTGTTGCTGATGATGATGCTGCTGCTGATGATGATGTTACTTTTAGCAATGTCAGCTGATGATGATTCCAGATACTTATGCTGCTGATGCTGCTGATGATGATGCTGCTCCAGACGCTAGAAACGTCCGACAACACTCGATATGCGAGTCTCTCTGTCTGTCTGTGTCTGTCTGTCCGTCTGTGTCTCTCTGTATGTCTGTGTCTGTCTGTCTGTGTCTCTCTGTCTGTCTGTGTCTCTGTCTGTCTGTGTCTCTCTGTCTGTCTGTGTCTGTCTGTGTCTGTCTGTGTCTCTCTGTCTGTCTGTGTCTCTCTGTCTGTCTGTGTCTCTCTGTCTGTCTGTATCTCTCTGTCTGTCTCTGTGTCTCTCTGTCTGTCTGTGTCTGTCGGTCTCTCTGTCTGTCTGTGTCTGTTTGTCTCTGTGTCTGTCTGTCTGTCTGTGTCTCTCTGTCTGTCTGTGTCTCTCTCTGTGCCTCTCTGTCTGTGTCTCTCTGTCTGTCTCTGTCTGTCTGTGTCTCTCTGTCTGTCTGTCTGTGTCTCTCTGTCTGTCTGTGTCTCTCTGTCTGTCTGTGTCTCTTTGTCTGTCTCTGTGTCTCTCTGTCTGTCTCTGTGTCTCTATGTCTGTCTGTGTCTCTTTGTCTGTCTCTGTGTCTCTCTGTCTGTCTGTCTCTCTGTCTGTCTCTGTGTCTCTCTGTCTGTCTCTGTGTCTCTCTGTCTGTGTCTGTCTGTGTCTGTCTGTGTGTCTCTCTGTCTGTCTGTGTCTCTCTGTCTGTCTGTGTCTCTCTGTCTGTCTGTGTCTCTCTGTCTGTCTCTGTGTCTCACTGTCTGTCTGTGTCTCTCTGTCTGTCTGTGTCTCTCTGTCTGTCTCTGTGTCTCTCTGTCTGTTTCTCTCTGTCTGTCTGTGTCTGCCTGTGTCTCTGTCTGTCTGTCTCTCTGTCTGTCTGTGTCTCTCTGTGTCTCTCTGTCTGTCTGTCTCTCTGTGTCTGTCTGTGTCTGTCTCTGTGTCTCTCTGTCTGTCTGTGTCTCTCTGTCTGTCTGTCTCTCTGTCTGTCTCTGTCTGTGTCTCTCTGTCTGTGTCTCTCTGTCTGTCTGTGTCTGTCTGTGTCTCTCTGTCTGTCTGTGTCTCTCTGTCTGTCTGTGTCTCTATGTCTGTCTGTGTCTCTCTCTGTCTGTCTCTCTGTCTATCTCTGTGTCTCTCTGTCTGTGTCTGTCTGTGTCTCTCTGTCTGTCTCTGTGTCTCTCTGTCTGTCTGTGTCTCTCTGTCTGTCTCTGTGTCTCTCTGTCTGTCTGTGTCTCTCTCTGTTTGTCTCTGTGTCTCTCTGTCTATGTCTCTCTGTCTGTCTGTCTCTCTGTCTGTCTGTGTCTCTGTCTGTCTCTGTGTCTCTCTGTCTGTCTGTGTCTGTCTGTCTCTCTGTCTGTCTGTGTCTCTCTGTCTGTCTCTATGTCTCTCTGTCTGTCTGTGTCTCTCTCTGTCTGTGTCTCTCTGCGTCTCTAAGTCTCTGTCTCTCTAAGTCTCCATATCTGTCTCTGCCCTGTCTCTCTCCTCCCCGTGTCTCTCTCTCCGAGTGTCTCTCTCTCCCCGTGTCTCTCTCTCTCCCCGTGTCTCTCTCTCCCCGTGTCTCTCTCTCTCTCTCCCCGTGTCTCTCTCTCCCCGTGTCTCTCTCACGTCTAAACTCGTTACGTTACCAACATTGTTTTTGTTCCCCAGTCCACAAACAACTCCAGCAACAACTTGAGCAACTTTAACAACTTTACAAACTTCGACAACGATTTCTCTCTCCACCCCCTTCCACACAGAGAGAGAGAGAACGCTCAGGATAACGGGACCCCTCTGAGAGCCCCGCCCACCCAGAGTAAGGCCCCGCCCACCGAGAACTAGACCACGCCCACAAGGCAACCCTGTCCCCCCCGCCCACCCTTGAGCCAGACCCCGTCCACCATCAACAGGGCCACGCCCATTTAGAGTCAGGGCCACGCCTCCCCCTCCCAACATGAACGTACAGTAGTCACGCCCCCACCGAGGCACAAGCTGCGCCCACTTATTTGGAGCCACGCCCCCAAACCCCTTTCACCCCGCCCACGGGTGGCTGAACCCACCGCTTGCTTACTCATGCATAGCCACGCCCTTCTAGAGGGAAAACTCCGCCCATCTCCGCCTCTAAGATACGCCCCAAGCACGCAGACGAACCGGGAGCAAAAGCCCCTCCCTCCTGGATCCAAGCCACGCCCACTAGTGCGTAGACACGCCCGCTATGAACTTTTGAGAGGCCGTAAATCACAACTTGTTTATGACTCCGCCCACTGATGAAGCCCCTCCCACCGGTTTATAGCTCCACCCTTGAGCCCGTTGATACAACTCACTCACAAACTCACTCACATTCACTCACCCACTCACAAACTCACTCACTCATTCACTCACCATTCACTCACTCACCCAACAACTCACCCACTCACAAACTCACTCACACATTCACTTACCCACCCAACAACTAACACACTCACAAACTCACTCACACATTCACTCATCCACCCAACAACTCACCCACTCACAAACTCACTCACATTCACTCACCCACCTAACAACTCACCCGCTCACAAACTCACTCACACATTCACTCACCCACTCACAAACTCACTCATACATTCACTCACCCACCCAACAACTCACCCACTCACAAACTCACTCACACATTCACTCACCCACCCAACAACTCACCCACTCACAAACTCACTCACACATTCACTCACCCACCCAACAACTCACCCACTCACAAACTCACTCACCATTCAGTCACCCACCCAACTACTCACCCACTCACAAACTCACTCACACATTCACTCAACTACCCAACAACTCACCCACTCGCAAACTCACTCACACATTCACTCACCCACCCAACAACTCACCCACTCACAAACTCACTCACACATTCAATCACCCACCCAACAACGCACTCACTCACAAACTCACTCACACATTCACTCACCCACCCGACAACTCACCCACTCCCAAACTCACTCACCATTCACTCACCCACCCAACAATTCACCTGCTCACAAACTCACTCACACATTCACTCACCCACCCAACAACTCACCCACTCACAAACTCACTCACACATTCACTCACCCACCCAACAACTCACCCACTCAGAAACTCACTCACACATTCACTCACCCACCCAGCAACTCACCCACTCACAAACTCACTCACACATTCACTCACCCACCCACTCGCGAACTCACCATTCAGTCACACGCAATCACTCTCACCCACTCAAAAACTCACTCACCATTCACTTACCCACTCACAAACTAACTCACCATTCACTCACCCACCCAACAACTCACCCACTCACGAACTCACTCACACATTCACTCACCCACCCAAAATCTCACCCACTCACAAACTCACTCGCACAATCACTCACCCACTCACAAACTCACTCACACATTCACTCACCCACCCAAAAACTCACACACTCACAAACTCACTCACACATTCACTCACCTACCCAACAACTCACCCACTCACAAACTCACTCAGACATTCACTCACCCACTCACAAACTCACCCACTCACAAACTCACTCAGACATTCACTCACCCACTCACAAACTCACTCACACATTCACTCACCCACCCAACAACTCACCCGCTCACAAACTCACTCACACATTCACTCACCCACCCAACAACTCACCCACTCACAAACTCACTCACCATTCAGTCACCCACCCAACTACTCACCCACTCACAAACTCACCCACACATTCATTCAGCCACCCAACAACTCACCCACTCACAAACTCACTCACACATTCACTCACCCACCCAACAACTCACCCACTCGCAAACTCACTCACACATTCACTCACCCACCCAACAACGCACTCACTCATAAACTCACTCACACATTCACTCACCCACCCGACAACTCACCCACTCCCAAACTCACTCACCATTCACTCACCCACCCAACAATTCACCCGCTCACAAACTCACTCACACATTCACTCACCCACCCAACAACTCACCCACTCACAAACTCACTCACACATTCACTCACCCACCCAACAATTCACCCACTCAGAAACTCACTCACACATTCACTCACCCACCCAGCAACTCACCCACTCACAAACTCACTCACACATTCACTTACCCACTCACTCGCGAACTCACCATTCACTCACACGCAATCACTCTCACCCACTCAAAAACTCACTCACCATTCACTCACCCACTCACAAACTCACTCTCCATTCACTCACCCACCCAACAACTCACCCACTCACGAACTCACTCACACATTCACTCACCCACCCAAAAACTCACCCACTCACAAACTCCCTCACACATTCACTCACCCACCCAACAACTCACCCACTCACAAACTCACTCACACATTCACTCACCCACTCACAAACTCACTCACACATTCACTCACCCACCCAACAACTCACCCACTCACAAACTCACTCACCATTCACTCACCCACCCAACAACTCACCCACTCACAAACTCACTCACACATTCACTCACCCAACCAACAACTCACTCACTCACAAACTCACTCACACATCCACTCACCCACCCGACAACTCACCCACTCACGAACTCACTCACCATTCACTCACCCACCCAACAACTCACCCACTCACAAACTCACTCACCATTCACTCACCCACCCAACAACTCACCCACTCACAAACTCACTCACCATTCACTCACCCACCCAACAACTCGCCCACTCACAAACTCACACATGCACTCACCCACCCAACAACTCACCCACTCACAAACTCACTCAGACATTCACTCACCCACCCAACAACTCACCCACTCACAAACTCACTCACACATTCACTCACCCAACCACTAACCCTACCACTCACTCACTCACAAACTCACCTACCAACTCACTCACCCACTAACTCACACATTCACTTACCCACCCACTCCCGAACTCACTCACACATTCACTTACTCACCCACTCACGCAACCACCAACTTACCGACTCACGATCTGATTCACCCACCCAATACCAATCAACACCCGCCATTCGCCAAGTGACGTCACCACGGCGCCTGTACCAGGCCAGGTGCACTTGGAAGCCACGTGTAGTGTCGAAGGCTCGCTCACTCACCCATTCACCCAACCAACCACTGATACCCTCACTCACTCACCCACTCACCCAACCACTCACCCACTCACTCACCCAACCACTCACCCAAGCACTCACCCACTCACCAACCCCTCATACCCTCACT